TTTTGGGTTTAAAAGCAAAGCCAGCCCAGTGGCGAATGGAAGGAAGGCATGAATCCTGCAGCATGGGGAATGAGGCAAAGTGTCGTGGCAGAAAGAATTGGTGCATTATAACCCTGGCAGTAAAGGTCTCTGGGGCAGCATCATCTGTTCTGTGCGCCAGAATGAGGATTGCTCTGTCACTGACTCACCAAGGGGTGCTGCACCTTTGTTAGCAGACTGCCTCTGTCCTCTGGGACACAGAGACACAGCGCCACGTAGCACGGTCAGATAAGAGCACACATATTGCTGCTTCCCTAGAGAAAGAACTGGGGACATTTCTGTAACTTCCCAGCATTTTGGTAGAGATATTCTTGTTTGTTTAACCAGCCTTCTGTATTAAGACTCTGGTATCGGAGGCAAAGAGCAAGAATATTTACACTGATCCTGCTAAAGATGGACCTACCTGAGCCTGCTGGAGTGCTTGTCAGATTTTCTCTGGTCTGTGTGGGTACCACAGGCACGTACTTGCTAGCTGGAGGGATCTGCCAACAGCAACTGCACCAGGGATGATGGGAAGTGATTAAATGGAATGCCCGGCCAAAGGAAGAATGGATTCCAGGAAAATCACTTCCAAAAATAGGGAGCAACATGAATATTTCAGAGAATGGATTGGAAGTGTATTTTAGGACAGTTTTCTTGGTTCCACTATTAGCAGAAAGAGCTTTTTGCCAACAAAAAAATTGAGCATTTTGATGCAGATTTTGTTCCCTGCTATGACACAGAGACAGAACAGATTTCTTCTTCCTGTTCCCTTTGTTTTACTTCTCACAACTTTCAAAGGGCTGAAAATGGTTAACTAATGATACCAAAATCTGTATTTAAAATGTAATTCAGTTCTGTAATTATATTCCTTATGCATGGAGACAGAAATAAACTAGAGGAAGAACCCATTAGCCCTTTTGCATGTATAATTGAACACGTTTGATATTACTAGGTAACCTTTGTAAGTAACTGGCTTTGAGTTTATGCAAAGAAGTGAACACTTTGAATACATAAATAACAATAAGAACAGATATTTTTTGATTTTGCATTCTGTTCTTTTCTTGTTTGTGTCTGTGAGACGCAGTCAGACGGCCCTGGCTTTATGTGGCCATCCACAGAAACATCACAAAGATCTGACTTTTGCATCATTTTGGTGCAGTAATGAATAAGAACTGACATCAGATATCAGTATTATTGGCCCAGCTAAATGGTAGCTGACATCAAACTGGACTGCTGGAGAGGTAAACAAAATTGAAATTTTGTTTTTGTTTAAAAACTGTCTGACATTATTTGTCCTTCAGTAAATCAATGGCAGAATGAGATAAATGCTCTTTGCATTTTGGCTTGAGGAGGTAAAATCGGGCAGTTGCTATCAAGCATATTTTTATAGTCTTGTAGGTTTTCCTAATACAACCTGTAACTTCAACATTTGTTTTGTTGAATGGAATCTTGGTAACCTCTGTAATGATTTCTTAACCTGTAAGCATCACACAAACACAACATGGCAGATAGATACAAACAGAGGAGCACGATAATCATACCCTTATCTCACCATGAGTGCATACCTATACACAGATAAGGGAGTAAATTTTCTTCTAGTTTGAAATGGTAATGATCCAACCAAGCATCTATATTCTTTGTATTTCATTAGCATGCAGTGATTTGCCAAGCTGGGAAAATGCTGTGCGAAGTATGTGCAGAACTTTGATTTCCAGTGCTCTTTAGGCCATGCTTACATTTTTCTATTACACAGTAGAAAAGGCTGGACAACATTCAAGAACAGGTCACCACTTCTTGTAAGGAATCTATTATATGAAGCTGCATTGCTTTCCCCTGTTCCCCCTGTTTTCCCCCTGATTAAAATCTTGTACTAAGACAAAAACACCAGTGGCTTGAATTTTCATCTTTGCTTGAGTTACACGGATACATATTAATATTCTCCATAATGGGCACGAGAGAAGATGGCCAGGGCTGATACAGATGTCCCCACTCCTGGATGCAGGAGTGAAGCTCCTCCAGCACCTTCTGCCCATTCCCAGCCTGCATTTAGGCAGTCCTATGGAACCCAATAATTACGTGGGGTCGCCTGAAATCAAAGAGTCATAGAATCCTAGAATGGCTTGGGTTGAAAAGGACCACAAAGATCATCCAGTTCCAACCCCCTGCTATGGGCAGGGTCACCAACCAGCAGACCAGGCTGCCCAGAGCCACATCCAGCCTGGCCTTGAATGCCTCCAGTGATGGGGCATCCACAACCTCCTTGGGCAACCTGTTCCAGTGCCTCACCACCCTCTGTGTGAAAATCCCTGTAATGTTCCAAAATCAGGGAAATTACCTCTACAGTGCAGTCTCAGTTGGGCATCTCTAAGGAGGGCATCTTTGGTTTCCCAGGCAAGGTACATTCACATATATAAGATACATACATCTTTTAGTGCACTCAGAGACTTTGAAGAGAAGTTGAACACGTACAGTGGCCTCTAAAAATATACATCCTTCCCACCACACGTGCACATTTCCACCCAAAGGCTTTGCCTCTAGTGAAAAAGAAATACCTGAAACAATTTTCTCAGTGTGACAGTAAAAGGGACTGTAAAATTAAAGAAAGACACCATTTCCTACATCAATTCAAAAGCAGCTGCGCAGATTTTGCTCCCATTTTCCCAAACTTCTGACAGGCACAGAAGCAGCCTGCCTTTTAATTCCTAATCCAATCACAGCATCAGAAGGCAGAGCAGAGCATCCATTCGAGCAGAGGCACTCAAGCAGAGCTCGTGCCCAACTGTTAACTACAGTTTGCAGATGTGTGGTATAGTAAATAACTTACATTTCAGGGAGTTTAATGAGAATTTGTTCAATCTCTATAAAGGCATTATTCATTTTTACTTTTTCCTCATACAATACTCTTCCCTCTGTTTTTGGACACACTGCCTGGATAGCTCTCTGATCTAACTGGAAAATGTGCTCTTTGTTCCTGCATTCTCTGTACAGCACACTGTGTAATGAGCATTTCACGGTCCTTCAGAACTCCTTTGGCACACAGCAGCCTCAGCCACAGCTATCACAAGCCCACTGAAGTGACTTAGGAGCCTACTTAAACAGACTTGTATCCTGATAAGGATGTGAAGTTTCAGGCTGTTTCACCATTACAGCACTACTCCTTCAGAATCCCACCCTGCAGAGAGGACTTCTCACACAGCACGGGAGCAGCTTTGGGTCCTGTGCTGCTAAGGTGTTAAACAAACAAAGAAAGAATACTCAGGCAGCACTCTGCCAGGAGTCAGCCTTCAATTTTGCTATTCCAGACTTAAGAAATAAGATTTTTCCAACAAATCCTTGCCTGACTCCAAAGCTTTGGCCAGGTCTACCCATGGGATTTTCTGCTAACCACTCTGGAAGTGATGCTGCACCTCTGTCTCAATGCTTCATGGTCAATCTCCAAAATCGTTTTGATAAAAGTAGTTAAGAATGTTAGCGTTTCAATAAAGGCTTTTTCCCTCAAAAACCATGCATGTTTTAACAAAAACTTTGTCACCTGAGGGCTTTACTCAGCTTGCTTAGGGTGGAATGTTCATTTGTTTGGTGGGCAACCAAGAGAGGAGAAGAAAACAGTTCCTTGGTGCTACACGAGGTTGAAATACAGAACTTTCGTTGCCGGCCAACCAGTGTCACAACTGTAAGTTGTGCAACTCAGGACCAACCACTCAGTCTTTTCAGTAGTTTTTCTGTACATACAGGGTTAATTTGTGTAACTGCAATTACAGCTCCTGAAATTATATTCCTCACTCAATTTAATGAATGCTGCTCCGGATGTTTCCATTTTTACTAATTCAATCATTGAGAATGTCAAGAAATGACTTTAAGTCTAGGGTTTAATGCCAACTATAATATTCTATACCAAAATAACATGCTTAGCTGGAAGATTATCAGCACACACCCTTCCAACTTCCTGCTCATCATTACAAGCCACATTAAAGCACGAGGCTCTTTGTAAATACTCAGGTTAGAGACAGTGCTATATGACTGCCAGCACAGTGAAGCTTTCCCTCACAATTCTTAGTGTTAAACACTATTTTTACTATACTATCATGTTCCAAAAGACTGAGAGGCAGGCTGTGCCTGTCAAACATACACACGTGTGGCAGAAAAACCTTGGGAATCCCTATTCACCTCCTTGAAATAAGTTTATCTCACACTTGGTGCTGCATTAACCCCTAGGGTTGGTCTGAAAAACACATATGGTTGCCATAAGTGGATGGTACAGCACAAGTGGATACTGCACAATATTCAGGATCTCCTACAGCTGAAAACTGGTACCTTGCTATGCTTGTAATAAAACACTAGCAGTGAGAGCACAGGGAGAAGGAATGCTGATGAGGTGCTTTTCAGGAAAGATGACAAAAAAGCCAGTTCCTTAGAGAAAAGAGTTCAAGTGGTGGCAGAAAGCAGCATATGCTTCATTATTTCCACACTGGTTTTAAGAGCAGTATGGGCAAGAGAGCCAGAGGAACCATAAACTGCAAATGCCTCGCGTTCTGAATATTTCAGATGACTTCTAAGAAACATTCCTGAACAAACGACTTACCTTACAGCTTGCAGGCATTTTGATCACAGTCTGTCACCAATCCCAAACCCAAAACAACCCTCTTTTGACAACAACTGTAAAATTAACCATCCAAGAAAAAAAAACTCACAGCAAACTTCATTTAAGTAAAGTAATTAGACAATGACAAACGAGAATGGCTTAGATTATCTTGCAGTGATGAAAGGAACACAGAGCTAGGTACAAGGAAGGGCAGCTTCATTTAGCAGTCTCTGGGACTCTGCCCTGGCTGGGAGGTGTGTGCTGCAGCAAAGTCCTCCAGTTCAGCTGCAGGGCTATCTTCTTCAGCATAGCATGCAGTATTATTTACCAGAATAAGGAATGTGGTGATAACAATTTCAAATAAACAAATGAATAAACATCAGTGCACAGAACTTACCTCCAGGCTGAATGTAGCATGATTGCAGGAGTGCAGGTGACCGTAGAACGTACAAACACGGAGACCCTAAGAATTCAACAATAAAGAAAGCAAATAAGTTATAGTGCTATCAATTATTCTACATTATCATCAATGCAAAGACCTTGATTTTATGGCTGGGTGCAACAGAAGGCATTCTGTGTGCTAAAAACAGAGCCCAGTTGCTAGAAGAGCAATACATTTCTCACAATTACTAAGGATTTATCTATCTCCTTACTTCATGTAATTGCTTCCAGAAAAGGTACATTCAAATACCATGAAAAAAAAAATTACATCTACCAAGCAGGAGGGTTTGAATTAGAAAGTGTAACCACTGCTTCCAAAAGACTGAGCCCTGCTCTTAGGCTGTGATTCAGTACGTGTTTCTTGATACTCCACACACACCATTAAAGTCTTCCTTAAGGAATCACAAGCATGAAATCAAAATTAATTATCTTTTGTCATCTTCCACATTAGGCTGTAAGCGACCTACATACTGCAGGAACATATGTCAGATGTCATCACTGATACCTGACTTGTTCTCCCAATGCAGCAGGCATCCAACCACAATATCTCATGCTAAAAGGAAGTCTTCGTGACAGAGGTAGCAAAATAGTGCACTTCTGGTTTAAAATGTCACTGGTTTAATGGGCAACAGCAACAAAAATACCATCGGAAGTGAAACCCAGCAACCAAAACAAAGCTACAAACACCAAACAAAAATCAAACCGTACTCCCACTGGATTTGAAGACTTTTGCATGGAGAAAGCATCCTCTGTGTTTATGAACATGTTTAACCAGTGTATTCTTACTGTTTGCAGCAAGCCCTTCCATGAAAGGAGGCAATGAAAGAGATTTCAGTGCCACGTAATTCTAGAAGGACTCTACCTACTAATATCCTGTAGCTCACATTACAACTGGAGGAATTCAGTCAACAAAACTACAGTTAAAAGGTATTTTAACATCTACAGGCTGCTGCAGATGTATTGGTGCTAAGAGCAAAGAGGGAAAAGAGCTGGTGAAGGTGGAGAGCAGCACGGACACGGGAGCACAGAGGCAGTCATTACCTGCAGATAAACTACACTTGGAAATTGGAGGTCAGCTGTACAACAGTGAGATAGGAAAACTCTCCTCAACCTCAAGCATTGGGAGAAGAAAACTTCACTGACTGTAAGCAGGAGCCTGACAAGTCTGGAAATGAACGACCTCCTGCATGTGGCCAAAAGTTGGAGGTCAAGGTGACTCTTTCCAGTTGCATTTATATGGCACTGGGATAAAGCACACTACCAAAACCTTCATTCAAGGCCAGGCTGGATGTGGCTCTGGGCAGCCTGGTCTGGTGGCTGCACATAGCAGGGGAGCTGGAACTAGATGAGCATTGTGGTCCTTTTCAACCCAGGTCATTCCATGATTCTATGAAAACAGCAGGCTGCAGGCTACTCCTGCAAGCCCCATTTTGTTCGTTTCCATGTTTTTCACTTCCATTTCTTAACTAGTCTCCTCTTCAAGGCCACATGCACTGCTGAGATCAAACCAAGAGATCAGTGTTATCCTCATGCACGTCTCACAACAGAAACTAACAAAGAACAAGACAAGAAGAAAGGCTCTGGACTACTGAAGCAATCCAGCATCTTCAAAAGAGCAAGCACATCAACTTCCAGCACAAAAAGGTTGTCAGAGTGCAATTCTTTGATTCTTCACAGTTTTCAACAGAATTACAGGTCAAAAAACCCCTAACAGAACCCCCAGGGTCGCTTATTTAAGTAGTTTTAAATAATAAACCCAAGCCAAAATATCCTGATAAAAAGCAAATTTGAATAATTACCATCCAATTATAAATTCACTGCTGGAATGGAAATGTGATCGCACAAAATTCCCGAGATACTACAGATAAATTAAACTTGATAAAGTTAACACAATTGGAGCCAGCTATAATGAAGCACACGTGGAGAAGGAAAGCAAGAGCAAATTTCCAGGAGATAAAATCAGCAGCAATATCAGTGCACTCAGTTCACAGTAACAGCCCAAACATCAGCACGTGTTTTGTGTGTGAGAAGCAATGCCTGTACAATAAGTGTGTTGCTCAGCAGGGCACAGTATTTACTATCAGACACTCTAAAATACCCATATACACACAGTTGCCTTTCCACGAGGACAGAAAAGCATGCCATCACAAACAAAAGCACATGGATGCTGTGCCACACAATGAATGGGAACTTCCTGTTTTCCCTTCTGTCAGTCAACTCAGCCCGAAAAGGATTTTAATAGCAGTAATAATAATAACAAAAGCTATACAAAGGGAACAGTTCTGTAAAATGTTTTCCAATGCTATTGCTGAAACTTAATTTCCAAAGCACTGCTTTAATTTTATTGAAGGCACAGCTAGTGTTTCCTTTACCAACACCTGGAAATCTGAGCCTCCCACTGAACTGCACTTCTTCAAGGTTCAAGACTCGCCTAGGAAACGCATTGCGAGGCAAAGAGCAGAGGAAAAAGGAGGAGCTTGTCTTAATATTTATGCTGGGGAGGTGGTGTCGGTTAGGGAGAATGGCATTCCATTGCAGCTACCCTCCAGTCTTATGGGACCATTACCCCTGAGAGCAGGAGAAACGCCAAAACGTTGGAGCAGGGCTCTACAGCTGCACAAGGGCACGTTTTGCCCACGTTTAACCTCCAGTGTCTATCCAGTCTCCTTGAATCTGACACCCGAGCTGTTGCAAAGGGCAGTAAATTACGGAGAATGCATTATTATTAACTGAGTCATCGGGTCTTGATTGAAATATTAATGGGAGAAATCTCCGTTCTATTCACTCCTTAAGCTACTGCCCAATTACATTAATAACCATACATTCTTCCTCTGCAGAAAATACAGAGATAATAGCCACATTCAAAGAAAACAAAATATGAAGGGTTCTGCATTTTTTTTTTTAGATGACTATTCAGACATGCACAAACACGTGTAATTTTCCATTTTGAAACCCAGAAATTAACATTAGAATCAGCAGTTAGAAATACCATGGCATTATTTCGTGCAGCATATCAACCCCTCGGCTTCCACTGAACACGGATATTAATTGTCTTGCCTTGGATGGAGTTATCTAAGGGACTTCAGATAGAGAACAAAAACATTTCTGTTTTTTCAATGCGATCCAGCATTGTACCAGAAAAGCAGAGTGACCTCTGGCATGGTGGATCTGTGAGCAGCAATCCTGCGGCCAAAGTGATTAAGAAAGGAACCTAAATTCAAATGATTTTTTGTTCTTACTTTCAAAGGATAAAAGCCTGAGAGTTCTGAATCAATAGAGAAATTGTGCTTCAAATCTACCCTCCTGTGTCCATACAGATACACAAATAGGAGGGCAAGACACCAGAGGCAGGAGACAATTACAGTTCATATTCCACAGCTTCTTTGCATCTGCATAATTAAGACGAACCATTAATTCATCCAATGCAACAGTTGACCACTCCTATACTTATTTTACCATATGTACTTCTTTTATTTATACTCAGTTTAACAAAGCAAGCAACTAACCACAAAACTTAACAAATCATAACAACTTTGAGAGAAAACAAATCACACCCCAAACCTGTTGAGCATTGCTGAAGAACTGCTTGTGTTTTCTAAACTCTGCTGTTTTCTTGGATTTTGAAAGCTCTACTGGTTGTGAGAATCTGACAAGAACAAACTTACTTTGCCAAATTCAAAAATCAAGATAACAAATCCATTAGATTAAACAGAGCATAATGCAATACATGCAAGAGGCAATTATTAGCTTGATATGATACGAGCTTTTAGAAACAAACATCTGAGCACGTGGTTTATCTACACAGTGCTCAATGAAAGACCTACTTGTAATTCTTTGGTTCAGTTAGAAGTTAAAGGAATATTTTCATTTAGACAGACTTAACTTACAAAGTGTTCAAATCACGAGGACCTGAACAGTAGAACTGGTCATCACATGTTCTCTATCACAAAGAAATCCAACTAAGCAGTTGCTCAAGAAAGGTATTAACCCATAGGAGGAGAGGGTGAATGGAACAACGCCTTGAATTAAACTTATATAGCTAAAAGTTGCTTAGGAAGTCAAATAATGTGAAGCTTAGGAAGCTCATTCACAAGACCTAAGCGTACCACGTGCACTGGCTGTTGATGAGGAAAGGTTCTCTCAGTCTCTCTTGCTGAATATAGCCAAGGACCTCCATTTTACGGTGAAGTGTAAAATGAAAAGGCTGAATCCTAGTCTGTTCCTTGCCTTTTTCATGTGTGGTCTGTCTACGTGGTCTTTGCACAGACTGGTGCCTGGTTTACCTGCGCTTTGTGTCAGTGAGGCACCAGCAGGCTCTCCAGTGAATGCATGACGTCCCCAGTAGAAATAAGGACTCTGAAGGCATTCCATGCTTTGTAGGGGATTTTTCTGCATTGTTGCCTTGAAGTAGGTGCACTGAAAACACCAGGAAGGATTTGTATCTCCTTATTAGAACACAACCTATTGCAAGTTTACTTTCCAAAGAGAGAAAACTCATCAGAAGGGGATGTGATGAAAACATAAAAGCTGAATAAAAGAGCCCAGAACCACTTGCCCCTTCCACTTCCACACACCTGGCTTATTTCTGTCAGTCCCTTTGTCTCACCCAGCACTACCATGGCTGACTTCAGCATTCTCCTGCACTCTGTGATGTCCACGTGTGTGCCCTGCCAGCAGCGAGTTCTGCTCTCCTCTCCATCTGCCCCATCCTGCCCCACCTGGAGCGCAACGTAAAAAGAAATTATCCACCCCCAGCACCTCTGCCAAGGACTTCTAGGAGCACGTGGCACACGGTATGTGTACAGTAAGCAGTGAACAAACAAGCAAAGCAATTTTACCAGCTGTCACTGCAGGTTTTACTCTATTACCTCAAACAGGGACCTTCAGCAAAGTGTTTGCTTCTGTTCTCCCAGCTCAAAATAGAGCCTAGGGGGGAAAATCATGCAGAGAAGACTCTTTCTTGATGTAAGAGTAAGGGAAAAGCCAGTGGATTGCTCAGACATTCTGTAATCCAGTATGTGA